AAGACATTTCACGGTATCAAAAACAGATGTTCTTGAAGGAAACTGTGGTAACAATGGACTAACACAGCCTGTGTAAACTTATCAAAGTGTTGTCGCAAAGAAAAGAGAACCGATTTGGATGTCAGATGGATGCTTCCTAAAGGATGCTTATCCAGAGGGAAGTAGTTTTCATCATCTACATGCATTAGCTTCTTAGGTCTGTGGTGACAAATGACCACAACCTGGGTGGCTTAAAAAGATGGAAATGTCTATCAGTTCTGGAGGCCAGAAGCCCAAATCAGCGTGTTGCTAGGGTTGTGCTCTTTCTTGCAGGGCTCTAGGGGAGGAGCTACTCTTTGCCTCTTCCAGCATTTGGTGGCTGCCCACATTCCTTGGCTGTGGCTGCATGACTCCAGCCTCTGCCTCCTGACCCCACCACCTCTTGCTCTTTTGTGTGCTTTCTCCTCCGTGTGTGTGTCTCTCTCAAACCCTCTCTTAGGAGGATGCATGGGATTGCATTCTGGGTGATGCAAGGCAAGATCTACTTGGATAATCTTGAGTAAGTGCCTCCTCTTAAGATCCTTAACTTAATCACATATTTTGCCATGTAAGGTAACATTAGCAAGTTCCAAGGTTTTGATGTGGGACCATTGCGGGTGTGTGTGTGTGTTGTGTCCATTTTTTGGCCTAGCACACTCTGCATGGTAGGGTCTCCAACCTCCCCAAATTAGCCTCTGATTGGTTATTACCCATGCTGTCAGTAGCCAAGTTTGAACATGGCCTTGTTAGGATGGCTTCCCTATCTGAATTCGTTCAAGATATTCAACCCATGGTTGCTGAGTGCCCTGGCATAAAAAAGAGAAGGTAGGCTCAGGATCATCCAAGCAATTAGAACCCCAGGTGCCCACCAGCAACGTGATTCTCCATGATTCCTGCTCATTGGGTTAGCATTTGCAACGGGGACAGAAATAGGCCCTCCAAGGAATACGGTGTCTTTCTTAAGATACAGATATTCTAGAATAGTGGTTAACAGGTGGACAGTAAAATCAACTCATGGAGGTACCTTAAGCCCAAATAACCATATTTTAGGAATATATGCATTTAATTACCCAAATTTAACATGTCATTGGAGTGGAGGATAAGAATAAAACACTAGTGTTGAGAGTCAGGTAAAAATATGTGTGAACTTGTAGACAAGGCTAAGTTCATTCAGCCTATGCACTTGGTGCCTGAGAGTAACTAGCAGAGTTAGGGCGGGTTTGCACCTTTCTCATCCCAGAAATTCTTTCTCCGTGATATTTTCCCCAGTATTTTGATTTTCCTTGTCTGCATGTGCTATGGTCTGAATGTTTGTGTCCTTCCAAGACCCATATGTTGAAATCCCAATGCCCAGTGTGATGGTATTAACGCGTGGGAGGTGAGTAGGTCATGAGGGTGGGCCTCTCACAAATGGGATCAGGGCCCTTATGAAAGAGCCCCCAGAGAGCTCCTTCACCCTTCCTCCACATGAGGGCACAATCGGAAGTCAGCAGTTTGCAGCCCAGAAGAAGGTCCTCACCAGAACCCAGCCACGCTGGCACCGAAAACTTGGACTCCCAGCCTCCAGAGCTCTGAGAGATAAAGCTTGCTGTTGATAAGCGCCCCCCCCCCCTCCAGGCTGTGGTATTTGTTATAATAGCCTAGCTGCACCAAGACAGCATGAGTCAGGGACTGTTCTACCCCAGCTCCCAGTGATCTGTCCCTTTAAATGTTGAATTGGGAGCCAGAAGACCTGCCACTTGCTAACTGTGAAGCCTGAGAACAATCACTTCCTGTCGTCTCTTCTTCTCCTCCTCAATGTTTCCATCGGTACAATGGGAAACCGTGTGAATATCAGTCTCACAGAGTTAGTGTGTCTATCCAATGGGATGACACATGAGGAGGTGCCCGGAAACCAGAAACCATAGTGTAGTCTTCCTAGCATGTGGCTATGCTGCCTGGTCTTTTGTCTGTAGTCTGGTGCTTGATTATATGGTCTTATATACATATATTTAAGTGACTATTTTGAGAGAGAGCATGCGCGAGTGGGAAGGGGAGGGCAGAGAAAGAGGAGAGAGAGAATCCCAAGCAGCACAGAGTAGGACAGGGCTCAAACTCATAAATCAAGATGTCATGACCTCAGCCAAAATCAAGAGTCAGACGCTTAACAGACTGAGCCACCCAGGCTTCCCTGGTCTTATATAGAAAAACAAAATTTTTTTTAATGTTTTATTTATTTCTGAGAGAGAGAGAGAGACAGCATGAGCAGTGGAGGGTCAGAGAGAGAGGGAGACACAGAATCTGAAACAGGCTCCAGGCTCTGAGCTGTCAGCACAGAGCCCGACGCGGGGCTCGAACCCACGAGCTCAGATCATGATCTGAGCTGAAGTCGTACTCTTAACCAACTGAGACACCCTGGTACCCCTTCCCTGGTCTTATATATATATATATATTTATTTAAAAAAATTTTTTTAATGTTTTATTTATTTCTGAGACAGAGAGAGACAGCGTGAGCAGGGAGGGGTCAGAGAGAGAGGGAGACACAGAATCTGAAGCAAGCTCCAGGCTCTGAGCTGTCAGCACAGAGCCCGATGCGGGGCTCGAACCCACGAACTGCGAGATCATGACCTGAGCCGAAGTCAGATGCTTAACCAACGGAGCCACCCAGGTGCCCCTGGTCTTATATTTTTTAAATGCATACACAAATTCTCTTCTCTACCAGCTTATTTGGTGTTTAATGACATAGACCTTGTATTATGTGTTTCTTGTATCCACTTTCACTGTAACACTTCCAGTGTCACAACAGCAATAGCTCAACAAACTGTAATCTGGGTAGAGAGAAGAATCTTGGTTGTGTGAGCCAACCCCTGCTCATTGCTCTATAATAAAGTTCTCAAACTCTGATGTGCAAAGGAATCGGCCAAGGGGCAGGTTGGAAAAGACCCATCCTTGGCTCCTGTTCAAAATCTCTGCATTAGTATACATGGGATGGAACCAGGAATCTGTATTTTAAAATAAAATCAAATAATATGGTTTGTCATGAATTGTGTTTATATTGTTATATCCCTGAAAAAGTAGAAGCATCAAAAATTAAAGAAAACATACTATTTGATAGTCACAGATCTTGAGCAAAAGCTGTTAGCCATTTTAAAAAGAAGAATATATTTATATACACCATTTGGAAATACTACGCTTTCTTGTCTTTTTCTGTGATTCTGTCTGGGATAGTGCCTTATCTCTGTATGTATGTACTGATGATGCCAAGGAGGGAGTTATAGCCTCACTCACACCTCACTCACTCACTCTGTTCCTTGACTGTGTCTTTGATATCATTGTGATTCCTCTCTTCTCAATGCCTAGAACGTCCATTAGATTTCACAGTTCTGGCTGTAGCTGTGGCCAAGCAATCCACATTACTTCCATGAAGCTGTTTCATTTATAAATTTTTTAAATGTTTTTTATTTATTTCTGAGAGAGAGAGTGTGTGTGAACGGGGGGGGGGGGGGGGGGGGGGTCAGAGAGAGAGGGAGACACAGAATCCAAAGCAGGCTTCAGGCTCTGAGCTGTCAGCACAGAGCCCGATGCGGGGCTTGAACCCACGAACTATGAGATCATGACCTGGGGTGAAGTCAGACGCTTAACTGACTGAGCCACCCAGGCGCCCCAGCTGTGGCTCATTTAGAATAGATTCTGAATTCTCTCTCTCTCTCTCTCTCTCTCTCTCTCTGTTCCTTTCTTGAGACGAAATTGGCATGGATATTTGTAACCTACACCCCAGATGACTCTGAGCAGCCACTAAGAAACACTGTACTAGGAATAGACAAGGAGCTAATTATTTCGACTTTCTTTTTATCAGCTAAGCTCCATTTGTTGCACTAGGAGAGAGGAGGTGGTTTAAAATAAAGGAAGACAGAAGATATGCAGTGAGAGTTCTTGGATGGGAGGAAATAGAACCTGGAGTTGTTTCATTTGAAACACGTCCCAGACTTTTGATCGTGGAGCAGTGTCAGATGCATTGCCCTATCCTGAGCAGCCACACAGGAAGAACAGGTGCCCACGTGTACCAGTCCCTGTACTGGGCGCTGTACGTGGTTACCAGCCACATCTGCTCTCACGTCCTGCACCCAACAATGCACGATGGATGCCCGACATTCATGTTGTTACGTTTTACCAATAGACTAAGTGATTACAAACTCATCTTGCTAGCTAACTGCTATCTCCACTCTAGAAGCATTTTTGGAGATCTGGGTGCAACTACTTAAACATTTTAAGCACAGGGGGAGTTATTTATGAAGACACGGATGGCAGATAGAGAGGTTTCAGAAGTAAGACATCTCCAACCCGGATATTTCCATCTGATTTTGCATGCTACAGGGTGGATTTTCCCAGGTTGTCTGTCAGATTTAGAATAACATATTGATGAAGATTAGCATTATCCCCACCCACTGAGCCTTTGTTAATTCATGACTGGGAGAAATGAAAAAGTCAGGACACAGCATCCATTCTTTGCCACGAGCTGAGACAGCCAGACAATAAGTTCACAGAGCTCTCCAAGTGCTTGCTCATAGGCTGACACATGTACCCCAATATATTTTTTTTAACATTTATTTATTTATGAGAGACAGAGAGAGACAGAGCAGGAGCAGGGGAGTGGCAGAGAGAGAGGGAGACACAGAACCTGAAGCAGGCTCCAGGCTCTGAGCTGTCAGCACAGAGCCTGATGCGGGGCTCAAACCCACAAACCATGAAATTATGACCTGAGCCGAAGTCGGATGCTTACCCGAATGAGCCACCCAGGTGCTCCAACAATATTAATAGTAGTAATCACATAGTATGTGCCAGTAATTATATAGTAATTATATATTGATATATAAATGAGGGCTTTGCCATTGAGAATATGGGACTCAAGAGGGGAGAGCTGATATCTGGAGAGGGGAGATAACTAACTTTAAAAGAGGACTTAGGTCCCCAAAGACTTAAGAATGAATTAAATCGAGACTTACGTTAAATCTTGAGTTACTTGTCTGCCTGGATCGTTTTTCTGCCAGTAGGTCTTTGACCGTGTGCTTCACTCTCACGCCTTGATACACGCGTTTGCTGTAGTCTCCTGGGACTTAAGCAAATGGAATAGTAATGCTCAAATGTGGATATAGTAATAGGTTAACCTCCCCAGGGATCCATTCAAGGGCTGACAATTGTGACGCTATTTGTTAATCAGAATGATAGACTTCTTGAATTTGCAGTGGCCTCAATAGAAGTCATTTAGTCTTCCTTTCTTGAAAGAAACTCACCCAAGCTCCGTGTAAGTAGAAAAAGCTCCCCACTATTCCATCTTCTACACAACAGCTCTTCAAATTGTCCTCTTTTTTAATACTCTGAGTTGTCAAGATTTACTCCAGGAAGGCTTACAATTTATGCTTTAATCACAAGATAGGAATCAGATGTTACTTGCTACCTGATGCAAAAGTTAGCTTTGCATGATTCAGTTTACAGAGTGACAGTATTCTTGCCACATCATATTTCTACCTGATGTGGGTGAACTGGTCACCGGGACTGTTTTCAGATTGGGCTTCTGAAAGAAAGTCATCTGTTCCTGTTTACTGCACTAAATTAATCAGTTTTTATTTTCGAAAATATAGTCTTTCAACACGCGGAGTTGCTGCTTTGAAACTAGATCAAGGATAAGGGAAGAATCATTCATTCATTTAACAAATATTTATTGAGCACTTACTACATACACCTACTGAACATATTCTAGCGTGCAGTAATTTACCTGCATTATTTCACTTGAGCCATTTTATAAATGAAGACCCTGAAGTCTGGGGCTCAGTTAGTTGCCAGGGTCTCATAGCTGCTAATGAGCACTAAGAGCTGGGATCCAGACGTGGGTCCGACTGTAGTTCTAACAAGTGGAAAAACTGGCTGTTTTTTTTTTTTTTTTTTTTTTTTTTTACCATGAAGAAACTACAGACAGATAACAGACTATAGAGAAAAATGTTTCCGCAAGGCTCTGAAATTGGCAACTCCGTTTCTACGGATATTGGGTTCCTGGTGAGCAAGGATGGCCAAGAGATGCTGAGCGAACCTTCTGTTTTAGGCAATTCGAGAACATTTAAGCAATACGTAGTAAACTGCAGGAATTAGAAGATAATTTGTAACTCTGAAATCATTGTTCTATTGGAAGTTGGATAGTTTTAACTGATTGTAACCGAGCTGTTGCTGGCCTATCAGCAATTTCACCTGGTGCAGATTTCAGGATCAGTGCAAGGTACCCCTGTGTACATGTGTGTGCATATTGCCATAAACAGTCTCTAATCTGGTTAAATTTGTAGATAGCCTAGGATGTGTTTGACTTATGAGTCAAATCTCATTACAAGGAGGATAAAAGGAAGGAAGAAAGGAAAAGAAGAATAAAAGGAAGGAAGGGCAAAAAACACACAACCCAAACCGGAAGCAGAGCGACCCGTCGGATGGAGGCGGGCCCACGTGATCACCTGTTACTCTGGTCACTGAACCTGAGCAAGCACAGCATCTCAGGCCCGTTTTCCTAGTCTGTAAAATCTCTCTGCAGCGTTTTGTAAGAGAGGCATATGAAAATACACCAGACTATCAAGTTTTATGCAAAATGCCTGTATAAAATTAAGAGGAAAGAAATCTAGGTTCCAAGGCAATGTACTATTTAGTTTAAATGAGGCCACTGCACAGATCTGATTTCAGCAAAATGGAGTTATTTGAACGGCCTTTTCAGTGTAATTTTGACAGGGTCTAATTTTGGTCTCTGTATCTTTAAAGAGGCTTGAAGTACTTCTTTCAAATCAGCCTCCAGTTGAAAACTTGATGACTTGACGTTTGTTCCAAAGGAATCTAAATGCTGATTCTAGAACGTATGTGATACCTTTACCTTTGGAAAAGCCTAAGGCTACAGTTCCTCATCAATGATGCATTGAATTATTTTCCTAGGTGTCAGGCACCCCTCAGAGCTGGGGATGCAAAAGAATTTGCTATCTAGTGGAAGGAGACAGAAGCTCAGAAAATAATTTTAATGCAAATGTGCCAAGGGCAAGAGTGGAATTATGCCTAGAATATTCAGAGGAACACAGATGAGTCAATTCCTTATGAGGATGGGGAGGGGCACAGCACACGGTGGAGGGGTCCTATGTGGTGACGGGAAAGTGGGCAAGAACATTCCAGACACTGAGGACCACAGGGGCCAAGTCCTGGAGGCAGGAACAGAGCAAGGTGTGTGAGGGAGGGAGGGAGGCCGGGAGAGGAAAGAAACAGTCTCAGTTGTGAAGTTTCTGGTAGGCAAAGGAGTTCGGACTTCATCCTGTCGGCAGTGAATCAACGGAGGCTTCTCAGCAAGGGAGCAGTCTGGTTAGATTTGTATTGTAGAGAGGCTTTTTCTGGCAGCTGTGTGGAGGGTAGATTTAAGAATCACAAGGCCACAGGGAGATCAGACAGGAGGTTCTAGAAGAATTCAGGCAAGAGATAATGGGGTCTGAGTAGTGGCAGATAGGAGGGCAAGGAGAAGATGTTGGAAAATTAGTTTGGTGTGGGAGAGAAAGAAGAGGGAAGATCCAGGGGTGATCCTTGAGTTTTCCCCGTGGGATTGGCCTGGGCACGTAAGTTTTGAGGCATCACGACGTAGCTGGTAGAGAAATCAGGAAAAGGGATGGGATTGCTGGCATGTGTGTTGGGGGGCAGTGTTTGAAAGGTAGAGTCACATGACGGCATACACAGAAACAATAATACAACGTGTCCTATACATCACATACGCACACCAGGCTGCTCCCATGGCCCGAGAGGATCAATATCTTGGAAATCCCTACAATCCCCATTCCTGACATACTGGTTGGGAAGCTCTGGGCTAAATGGTTCTGGACAGAACCTGGGGAGCATCCGCACTTAAAGTGTGGTCAGAGGAGGAAGAGAGGAATGAAGAAGAATATAAGGAAGGAGGAGACAGTAGGAGGGGAACCAGGAAGAGCCAGAAGAACGAGGCATCACAGAATTCAGGGGAAGAGACTTCAGGAAAGAAGGACAAAGCAGGGCAGGCAGCAGAATGGTCTAGGAAGACGGGACGGCAGGGAGGCCACTGCTTTCAGTTCCGGGCGTGGCGTCAACCCTGGCAGAGAAACTCTGGAAGTGTAGCTAGAAGCCAGATAGTAATGTCAAAGGCCCAGGCGGGGATGGAGAGTTCTTCTTGAAGCCTGAATGAGAAAGGGAAGGAGGAGCTGGATGATAACTGGAGAGAAGCACAGGGTCAAGGAGAGGTTTGCTTATATTTTTATATCTATATATTTATGGGTGGCAGAGATGTGAGGATATTTGAGTAGGTCAGAGGAAGGAACTAAAGATTTATGATACGGGGAAAACATGATGGAACGAGGCTGAAGAGGGAGCAAGAAACTGAGGCAGCGGCATGAACTGGCTCTCAACTCCCGCGACGGAGATAAAGCAAGGCCAGAGAGGGGTGGCGGCTGGTGTGTGGTCGGTGGCTGAGCCAGCTCAGCGCGCAGGGGAGCAGCGTGGAGCGGGACAGTGGCTCAGGCTCTAACAGTCAGACCAAAGCAGGGGGCAAAGTGAGAATGCGCCCCAGTGATCCTCAAAGTGTGACCCCCCGACCAGCAGGACTGGCCTTGCTAGGAGCTTTCTAGACGTGCAGATTCTCACGCTCTCACTCCAGATGTACGGACTCAGAAACTTTTGGGATGGGGCTCAGCAATTCATGTTTTAATAAGCCCTCCGGGTGATTTTGATGTTTTCTGAAGTTTGAGAGTCACAGGTATACATAACAGTAAGGACTTTATAGTGTTCCTGTTTGGGGGGCCAGCCGTAGGTATTCACGTTTTCCTGGCGGAGAAGAAGCAGGAACATCTGGTGATTCACAGTGGGAGTGGACACAGGTCTGAGAGAGAGGAGGGGGTGGCACCCCAGGGGTCCAGCCTGGATCCTCTGTGGGTCCAAGCTAGTCTTGGCTTCACTCTTCCCTGAAGGGCCTTTCAATTGGCGATTTCAATCTGACTCATCAATCTGTTCTTTATGTGTTTGCCAAAAAGCCTAGAAGGAATACACCTATTTTAAATAAGTCAACAAATAACCACATGGTAAATTAATAGAGGGAGAAAGTTCATGAGATGGCAAATAAACAGATCAAAACTTCTGAAGTTTTGTCATCAACAGTTGGTCTTACATACTAGTTGGCACGGGCTTAGTGCAAAGTACGGGCCAAATGCCACAGGGGATGCAAAAGAAGTTTAGAGCATCTAGCAGATGTCCTCAAAGAGATCTCATTTTTGTGAGGGAGATGAGACACTCACGTGTGAAAGAGTACGGGGGGAAGAGCACACTCTGGGTGGTCAGTGACAGCTCGGTGGGAAGAGAGGCGATTCAGGTGGGGCTTGCATGCGATGCGGATGGGTTAGGGGCAGGGAGAAAGGTCTTGTGGGCATCAGACAAGGCATGAATGAACACAGAGGCAGGTGTAGAAAGGGTAAGCAACCGGCGTCATGGGAGTTAATGCCATCTCCGTGTCGATGAATTTCAAATGGATACACTTGAGCCCAGACCCATCCGGCCCGGACTTCAGACGTGAATATCCGTCTTCACATGGATGTCCGGTGGACGTTGGGAACTCCACATGTCCGAATCGGAGCTCCAGCCCCTCCTCCACATTTGCTTTGTCTGGAGACCTCCCTTGTCTCGGCCGATGGCAGCTCCATGCTGCTGGTTACTCAATCCCAAAGCTATAGGCACCCCCCACCCCCGGGCTCTCTTCCTCCTGTACCTCCCACACATCCTTGAGGAGCTCAGGATGGCGTGGACTTTCCCCTCTCCACCACTCCTACCCTGCCGTCTGTCACGAGATCACTGTGGGAGCCTCGGCATCCCTCACCCCCAGTGTCCCAGTCAGTTCTCAGCCCAGTGATGCTTGAAAAAAGAAAGCACAACAGTGTCGCTTCTCTGGTCAAAACCATACTGAAATGGCTCCCCTTAGAAGGGCCTCATGTAACCTTGTTGCACGATACCTCTGATCTCACCTCCTAATACTCTCCCCTTGCTCACTGTACTCCCATCAGACTCTGAAATGCACCAAGCATACCACTTCTGCCTCAGGACCTTTGCACTGGCCGTCCACACTCCCTGGATTATTCTTCCACTAGTTATCCACATGGCTACACACCCGTGTTCCCTTCATGTCTTCTTTTCAATGTCATCTTTTCAATGAGAACATATTTAAAGTTGCATCTTTCCCATAAAACATTCCTTTAAAAAAATTCTTTTTAATGTTTTATTTATTTCTGAGAGAGAGACAGCATGAGCAGGGGAGGGTCAGAGAGAGGGAGATACAGAATCTGAAACAGGCTCCAGGCTCTGAGCTGTCAGCACAGAGCCCGACGTGGGGCTCGAACCCACGAACCGTGAGATCATGACCTGAGCCGAAGTCGGACACTTAACCAACTGAGCCACCCAGGCGCCCCTCCCATAAAACATTCCTAATTTGCCTCACCCCATTTTATCTTTTCTTTCTATGTAGTGCTTGTCACTTTATAAAGACCTATATAATTTCTTTATTTATCAGGTTTATTACTTGCTGCTGTCTGCTTTTTGCTAGAATGTAAGCTCCATGAAGGTGGGGATATTTGCTTGTTTTTTACTCACTGAAACATCTCAAGTGCCAATGCTGGAGGTGTCTGGCACATGATAAGCTTTCTTAATTATTTGTTGAAAGCATCCTGATTTTTTGGAGCGGGGGAGTGGGGTGGAGAGATTAATGGACATGTTGAAGCTCTTGAAAACTGGAGGGTGAAAAATTATACTTTATGGCGTAGGTGATGCAAACCACTAAGCTTTCTGAACAGGAGACTCTTGTGACTCGATCATTTTGGGAGAAGATTTGGAATGCCGTTTTGGAAGATTAACCTGAAGACAGGGCCTAGGATGGGTTGAGGGCGAGGAGCCACAGAGGATGGGAACAGGTAAAATAGAGGCTAACCAGAGACAGTGGAAATGACAAGGAAAAGACAGATGCAAGAGAATCTTCAAAAGAAAATACACACACACACACACACACATACACGTACGCACACACATGCAGATGCACAGTAAAAAAACAAAGACCACCAGGATGAAGAAGAGAAATCAGGAAGGCAGGAAGGAGAGTCAGTTGTAATGGGGGAAATAAGAGTTCAGTTTTGAACATGCTGGCCTTGAGGCTGTGCTGGCACAATCAAACCAAAATACCCTATAGATAAGATGATGGCTTTGACTAGTACTTCTAAGACACACCTTTAAAACTATGGGAATTTAAACTACAAAAATAAAGTGCTCAAAGGAAGACTTTGTGGCAAAAGAAGTCTAGGCATCCAAACACTGAGCCTCAGAGGCCCTGCAAGCTCTGATGCCCAGGGGTCCAAAGGGTATGGGGAAGGTAGGAATGGGGAGGAGAGGTAAGAAGTGAAGCATGTATTGCAGCGCCTGGGTGGCTCAGTCGGTTGAGCATCCGACTCTGGCTCGGATGAAAAAGAAAAAGAAAAAAGAATCTGGCATCTAGTACATGATCAATAAATATCTGTGAAATAAATAAAATACCTTAGAGCAGAATGAAGGCACAGAAGGCCATGAGGTTTGGAAAGGTAAAGATTTTCAGGATGTGGGGGACAGCATTTTCATGAGAAGGGAGATGAGACCCTGTCTCTGGGGCTTCACAAGGGCCCAGGTGGTAAGGGGACAGGACACAGGGGCTGAGCCATGCTCTGAATCAGTGCTACAGAAAAGCCAATACTTACACTTGACAGAGCACAAAAAGTGACCTCAAATAAGTTTGTTTGTTTGTTTGTTTTTTTAAACTTGAGCAGGGGAGAGGCAGAGAGAGGGGGAGACACAGAATCCGAAGCAGGCTCCAGGTTCTGGGCTGACAGCCCCGATGTGGGGCTCGAACTCACAAACTGCGAGATCATGACCTGAGCCAAAGTTGGATACTCAACCAACTGAACCACCCAGGTGCCGCCCCTCAGGTAAGTTTTAATTAAGCAGTGGAACCTCGAACGATTTCTTTAAACTGTCCCCTGGAGTATTCTTCATGTTTTGAGGATTCTGGAAAGTTTTCTAACCTTTCCTGCCCTCCCTTTTTACAGAGGAGTTAAACATGCTATCAGTCTTCCTTCCCCCAGACATTTCCCCCTGTGCATTGTCTATTTAAAGAACCCACACCTGCATAAACCAGGAGATGCTTGGGAGTTTTTATTCAAATACCCTAGATACAAACTTGCATTCAGATCAGTTGCTGAGAGAACAAAGACCCATGTTTCCGGAGAGAAAGCACAAGCAAATTTATCACCAAGAATCAACTTATCCTTTAGAATCTGGAAAAAAAATTGTTTTTGTGTTGCCATATTGTGAGTGTGTACATGCAGCAAATTGCCTACGTCATGTCCTCTCCTCACTGCCATCTATTTTGGTAACGAATTTGGCCCATAGTACAGTTGATAGTGCTGTCGCTTTAAAATTGTTTTTGAAAATTAAACATTTTCCCCATTAAAACAAACATGTACATTCTGAAGGTGACTATTTAAAATGTAGGTGATTCCCAAACAGCTTTTTGTTCTTAACTATCACATACATTTATGGTGTTTCTTTGAAGTAAGCACCATATTATTTTATTATTTTACTCATTTTACTTTTTTTAAAAAATATTTATTTATTTTTGAGAGAGAGAGACACACACACAGAGTGTGAGCAGGGGAGGGGCAGAGAGGGAGGGAAACACAGAATATGAAGCAGGCTGTGCTGACAGCTCAGAGCCTCATGCGGGGCTTGAACCCACGAACTGCGAGATCATGACCTGAGCTGAAGGTGGATGCTTAACCGACTGAGCCACCCAGGCGCCCCTCATTTTACTATTTTTGACAACACTTGTCTGGAATACACTGCTTTCTCTAAGCAGGGGCTTGTTATCTAGGGTAAGGGAATAGAGATTGCTTGAAACAAACACACAAAAAGGAGTAGAACAGAAGACCATCCAGTAATTTTAGGAAAGAGCAATTCATATTTTGAGTTCTGACATTTGGCGATGGAAAAATGAAGATAACAGATGATGGGCTCACACATGCTCACTCAAGACAGATTAGAATAAAGATCCTGACTGATGGGCGACTGACGGACAACGTCCATGCTTGTTCCATTTCTTGGCCTGCCGGCGAAGTGGCAAGAATCATGTCAAGGTCCCAGACAGGCCGGTGGCTGGACGGTGCGCTGGTCCCTCTGCTGGCTCAGGGGTCCCCACTACCTCCCTAGCCCAGCTCAGCCTGCCTCACTGAGGATCAGAGCCCCCTCGCCAAAGGGAGGGAGACACCCACGTAGGAATAAAACGTGCTAGTTCTACACCCTCTAGGGGCTTGGCGTTCATGGCTCCAATTCAGATCTGTGGAGCGGGTGTCATGTCAGTGAGATTATGGGAAACCTCCAGAAGAACACAAGGAGAGGCAAGTTCGGCAATTAATAATGAAATGTTCAAATATGAATTGCTAAGCTGAATATAAAATATACTATTTGGGAAAGTTTCAACTGGAAAGAAAAACTAAAGATTTTAAGTGAGGCTGAATTAGTTAGCATGTTAGGGTTTTGTAGAAGTTTGGTTCGTCCACAGACCCCTCCCCATGATGGCCCTTCTTCCCCCTAAAGCCTCCTAGCTGCATCCAAAACTTAACACCTCTGTCAATAAGCAGTCTGTGCCGCCACACGAGTGCTCTTGCGCGATGGGTCTATCAGCTTAGTTTTTGAGATCAGACTTTGAAGAGCTGAGGCATTTACAAAAAATACCAATTTTTCTTTGGAGGCACTTTACAAGGCATTTTTGAAATATTCTGTCATTATTTATGAACACTTAAAATTCTGATTTTTTTTAAATCTCAGATTTGTTCCTGAATGGGTGGGTTTTACTCCGTGTTGCCACTAACATTTGTATCCTCGGTGTGAACAAAGTAGGAAAGATCTGTACACAGTGTGAATTCATGAAACGACAGCCTGGGTTCTTCCCTATCACACGGATGTGGACAGTCCTCTGGTCTTAGACTAAGAACCTAAAACAAGATGCACGAGTAAAAGATATTTCGAGTTCTCTACAAATTTGGATCCCTCTCCTGCACTTTTCTTAAATTTGAGAGCTTACTGGAAGTTGTTACATTTAACACGTTTCCCTCTACTGGAAAAGGGTGCTGTAATACCTAAGTCTTTGTTTTATAAAAATGATGTTCAGTAGAGTTGATCTTCAAAACAGATACCTATCTAAACTCTAGGCAGCAAAAGTAAACCTAACAATTAGTAATTAAATGTGAAAGAATTCTGAAAATGTTATCAAGAGTTCTAAATTGTTGGTCTCCAGTCTGCCGTTTTATATTCTTCTATGTTCTAGCCAGAATTTAGGGCTATTTCTTCGTGCCCTTTGCTCCACTTGTGATGCCAAAAACAAACATTAGGATTAGTAAAGTTTTTAAAAAAATTTTAATAATCGACAGTGACTCACCATTTTCCATTCTGGATGGTTCTGGTGAATCTCCTTGTTAACAGCAATGTAGGATATCCGGTGAATGTGTTCTCCTTGATAAGGGATCCTGGTCTCTGGAAAGGTCAGCCTGATCCCGATGGGAAAGGCTTCTGTACCTGGTAGTGATGCTTCTGAAATGACTTGCTTTAGATTTGATTAAATGCAAATCCTTTGGTGTCTGTTTCTCTACAATTTGCATCCCCAATGTAGATTATATTTAAGGTATTTTTTTCTTCCTCAAGATTTTTATTTAGTAACAATGAATTTCCATTAGGAAAAAACTCTGTTAAAAGTTTATTATGGAAGCAAACAATCCATGATTTCTTTTCTGAATAGCAGCAGCATTTTCTATTTCTTTAATTTGGAGTTGCGTTTTAAAAAATAGTGCTTATGGAAAAGCTGGTATGTCCCAATGAGAAATACAGGTTCTATGTCTATGTATACTCATGGGTATATATTATGAGTAGATAATTTTTAGGCATCTTTCAGATATAGATAGAATTCTAGGAAGAAACAAAATCAAAATGAACACAAAATAAATACATTGTAATACAAATGGATAGCTTATTATATGTAAAACATAAATATATGATCTAAAGCAGAGGTTCCTAAACCTGGTAGTACCTCAGAATTCACACTGGAGCTGGTAAAAATACCTGTGCCCAAGCCCCATTCAATTCTAATTTGGAGTCTTTGAAATAGGGCCCAGATAGCTATATTTTTATCTATCTATCTATCTATCTATCTATCTATCTATCTATCATCTATCTATGTTTATTTATTTTGAGAGAGAGAGTGCACACATGAGTGGTGGAGGGACAGAGCCAGAGGAAGAGAGAGAATTCCAAGCAAGCTCTATGCTGTCAGCACAGGGCCCGGCAAGGTGCTCGATACCATGAACTATGAGCTCATGATGAGGTGAAATCAAGAGTTGGAGGCTGAATGGACCGAGCTACCCAGGTACCCCTAGATAGCTATCTTTTAAAACAAACTTACTTGTTGGGATGAGCACTGGGTGTTATATGGAAACCAGCTTGACAATAAACTATTTAAGGGAAAAAAATTAACTATTTTTTTTAAAAAAAGAAGGTGTTTTTGATGCATACTCGGTGTCATAAACTCCTCTAAAGCAAAAAAAAAAAAAAAAAAAACCAAAACCAAAAAACCCCAAACCCCACAGATTTGAGGGACTTTCTGACATTTCCCTTACTTATCTTCAAGGACCCACAATTGCTTCTTAACATAATCTTGGCTCTGTCTCCCAATCCCGAGCAGAGTTAGGTCCTGGACACCCTCCTCGCCATCTGGATTGGTGTAAGACCAATCCTGGAATTTCGGGACTTGAAATAGGTATCACCTGCTGGTCCTCTAAGCTGGCTCTATCTCACATGCCCTCACCGCATTCCAGATCAGTGGGATCTGGAGAACGGTGTTCTCACAGTGTGTTCTGGAAATCCCCAGAGGTCTTGGGCACTGACTCAGGAGATCTGCAAAGTCTAAACCAATTTCATAATCAAATGCATACATTTATTTTGCCTTTTACTCTCTCATTCTCTCATGAATGTACAGAAGAGTTTTCTGGGGGCTTCCATCTGTGACATATGAAAATGTGATATATGGATAGAAGGATAGATATCGGTCTAGCTGGTTTCTGTGAAGCCACTCAGGAGAGATTTGCAAAATCTTGAAACGGTGCCACTCTCTTCAATAGTTTTTTGAGGGGTTTGGAAAACATAGTTATCTTTAATTAAAGGATTATTTACATCAATACGTAATGGTCCATTACTGTTATTTTAAGTGAATAGTAAATATATTTTTTTGAATTCTTAGTTTTAATTTCCAAGATAATAAGGATACATGGGTATATTTTTATAAAAATATTTCATATTTTTAAAAAGCTCTTTGGGTTCCTCAGCCATTTATAATTCTGGTTCTGAGACCACATAATTTGAGACTCGATCCTCTGGAAGAACATCTGTAGCAGAAATGAGTTTCTAGAGTGTTCTAAGGCACACATTTGAAAACTCTGTGTCTGTGCTTCTCTTACAGAGAAAAGACACCTCTTATAGTCTCTACATTTCTAAAAGAAATCCAGAAAGACACAATTTGTCTCAATTTCCCCATTTCCAGCACCCTTTACTCCTTTAAGCGAACGAGAAGAGGCAGTACCACAGTCACACGGATCCTACAGCCCCTGTGATTTGTAATCTCTTCCCCGCAGGCATACCCGGTTCCCAATTCCTGCTTTCTCACTCCTCTAACCAAACAGCTCTGTACTGAAACAGACCAAGCATTACTAAGTGAACTTTATTATTTCTGCAGTAAATTCCCCAAGCACGTTGATTCTTCTCAACATTGCACCGGAAGACTTCAAACCTTTCAGAAGTTTGGCAGAATGGAATCTCTAAAAACACAGATATGACATGCACTGCGGATAGAGCCCAACCTTCTCAGCACAGCATTTGAGGTGCCTGTGATCTGGGCCCATCCTGCCTTCCATCACATCTACCACTTCTTCCCTCCACACGGGTTCCGTCCCAGTGTCCTGTGCGGTCCTGGGCCACCAGCCTCAGAGTCACCTGCAAAACTTAGAAAACATTGTCCACCCTACACTTGTTGAATTGGAGTATCTGGTGATCATGCCAGACACCTGCATCTGAAACGTGCTCCCTGCCGTCACAGGATTCTTAATAAACACTGGAGGCTACCCCCACCTCCCCGGCTATAGCTGGTAACTCAATGGTTTTCAAGTAAGTCATCGACTTTCACATCTCTTTACCTTTGTTTACAGTGTCCTCTCACATTGAAGCACGCTGTGTGATTACAGGTCTACAAATCAGTCAAGGCTCAGCACCGATGCTGTCTTCACTGAAATGAATTTAATGGCCCATTTCATGGTGCTTCTCACTTGAATCTCTCCAATGGCACTGATTTCACGCTGCTTTCCATGCAGGTCAGTGGTTTGCATATCCATCCCTCATCCCCGACCAGGCTGTCTCTCTCTGCTCGATATTCCTTCCCACAGCACTTCACCGTGTGCACATAGTAGGTCCCCAGTGAGTGCTGGCCATGCTGAGTCCTGCCATGGAATCCACTAGAAACAGTAGTTTCTGGGTACAAGCAGCAATATCAGAGGGGATTTCGTTGTTTTGCACCGTAATGTTGCCATGGAGTTCAACCGTTCTCTTTCCATGAGCTGAACACACCACTGGAGAGTATGTAAACTGTTTCCATATAGGCTGGTCCTGTATCCAAAACTCAAAAACATAAGGATTTTATAGAGGAAGGTTAATGTAGAAATGTCCAGAATCCTGCAGTAGCTTTTCAGATATTAGACATCGTTGGAAAAGCTGGAATGCGTTGATTTGCAACAGATACTCGCTTGTGCTTTAAAATACCTTTTAAGGGCGCCCGGGTGGCTCAGTCAGTTAAGTGTCCGACTCTCAGTTCTGGCTCAGGTCATGATCTCACAGTTTCCTGAGTTCGAGTCCCGCATCGGGTTCTGTGCTGATGGTGCTTAGCCTGCTTGGGATTCTCTGTCTCCCTCACTCTCTGCCTCTCCCTCACTCGCACTGTCTCTGTCTTGCTCAAAATAAATAAACTTAAAAAAAATAGAAATGAAATGCCCTTTTGTATGCTTGCTGTATTTGCATAGAACTCCAGACCTGTTCCCATAGAATTAAATAAAAGCTAAATAAAAAAATTAAATAAAAAGATCCCAGAAAGGTTGCTTTCTTATCCCAAGGAAACAAATCTTTGCAGATTGGAGTGGATGGCTGTTGCTGGCAGGGTGTGGGCTGCCGATAAGTTTTGTCTGTGCTTGCGTCAGTTGCTGGTGGGTTCAGAAATGTGGCACGGACACAGTCAGGCAGGATGTTGGGTCAAATCAGGTCTGGTGATGGTCTGGGGCAGCCCTTTAAGGAGGAGGGTAAAACAAGGGTATGTTTGGGTAGAATAAACACAAATCCACCTCGCTCAGGCACGATTAGTATTTGTCTCCTTTATCTTGTATCGGGAACACCCCTCAGATATTCCAACCACAATGTTTCTGTATCAGCTTTTTATTCATTGCAGGACTGGGCACCTGCTGCGTGGGTTAGGTAGCTCCTGACAAGTTGGCAGGGGCTTCATTGATACATTTGCTCTAAGGTAGTTATGGTGGGTGAGGGCGAGGAGGGCAGAGGTGAGGGACCCCAGAGCAGGCATGCCAAGTGGGGACCAAGGCACCCCATTTCCCCCACCTTGCCTTTGTTCCAGGGCTTTCCTATTTCCCAGCCCTGTCTTTAAGGGTTGGTTACAGGGAGCAGTTAAGGCTGCTCAGTGGTTGGGCTCTATTGGTATAGCACGTAGGGGCCCAGGGACTCCCTTATTATAGGAGGTGGGGGCAGAATGGCGGCGGGGGGAGGCTTCACACGCCTCTCAAATGGAGAAAAGAATGGGCGTGTGACATAATAAGAAATATATATTTGGTCTCTGCCCTTGGTTCTTGACGCAGAGCAATTAAAACCTTTGTAATTTCCTGAATGACAGAGACACAGGAAGCTTTTTGTGTTTCCTAATATTTGGTCTTTGACTCTGGGTCCCAGCTTAGAGCTCCTACACCCCTTGGAATTTTCTGGATGGCAGGAGCATCTTTTGCTCTAACGAGGGGACTCTTGGGGGGCTCCTAGGTAGCCTCAGGATGGGTCTCCAGAAAGACCTGGTCTCCAGAAAGACCAGGCCATGATTAGTGGAATTTTCAGCCTCACGCTCAATCCTCTGGGAAGGGGAGAGCGGCTGGAGACTGAGTAAATAATCCATCCTGCCTGTATGATGACGTCTGTGTATGCAAATCCCTAAACTACATGGTCCCGAAAACTTAGGGCTGGTGAACATGCCCGGGCACTGGAAGGTGGCACCCTCAGAGAAGGCATGAATGGAAGCTTCACACTCCTCAGCTTACTCATCTGCTCCATTTAATTGCATCCTTTATAATAATCAAGAATAGTGAGTAAACCGTTTCCCTGGGTTCT